CGGGACCGGTTTGGCTTAGTAGATAGAGCGTTGGCCTGTGGACTGAGAGGTCCCGGGTTCAATTCCGGTCAAGGGCATGTACCTTGGTTGTGGGCACATCCCTAGTAGGGGGTGTGCAAGAGGCAGCTGATTGATGATTCTCTCTCTCATCGATGTTTTTAACTCTCTATCCCTCTCTCTTCCTCTCTGTGAAAAAATCAATAAAATATATTAAAATCAAGTGAATTAAAAATCTGATGAACAGAATAAACTGGTGAATATAATAGAATCGGGCATAGAATGGGAGTGAACTGACAACTCTCAGGGGAAAAAGGGTATAGGGGTGCAGGAAGAGACAGGACAAAAATTTTACACCTATAGGTGAGGACAATGGGAGGGAGGTAAAGGAAGAGGGTGGATGGGAACCAGGTGGAGGGGAGCTATGGGGGGGGGGGGGAGTGCGAGGGGGAAAGAGGAACAACTGTAATAATCTGAACAATAAAGATTTATTAATTAAAAAAAAAAAAAAAAAAAGAAGTCCAGCCAGCATGGCTCAGTGATTGAGCATGGTCCTCTGAACCAGGAGATCACAGTTTGATTCTGGGTCAGGGCACAAGCCCAGTTTGGGGGCTCAATCCCCAGTATGGGGCATGCAGGAGGCAGCCAATCAATGATTCTCTTTCATTATTGACTAGAGGCCTAGTGCACGAAATTCGTACACAAGTAGGGTCCCTAGGCCTGGTTGGCAATCAGGGCCTATCAGGACCTTGCTTCCCCTGGCTACCAGCTGCTGGCTAGGGCCTTCCTCCCCCCGGCTACCAGTTGCCAGCTGGGCCCTTCCTTTGTTCCATTCTGCCCCTTGGTGGTCAATGAACGTCATAGCAAGCAGTCAAACTCCTGGTTGGTTGAATTCCCAAGGAGTCAATTTGCATATTAGCCTTTTATTATATAGGATATTTCTATCCCTCTCTTCCTTCCTCCTCTCTAAAATCAATAAAAATATTTTTTAAAAAGAAAATATATAATTAAAGTAATAATGACAGAAAACTTTCCCTACTAGTGCAGTAGACTTACAAGTCCAGGAAGCACAGAGAGTTCCAAACAAGAGGAACCCAAAGAGGTCTACACCAAGACACATCATAATTAAAATGCCAAGGGTTAAAGACAAAGAGAAAACCATAAACGCAGCAAGAAAATAGCAATTGCCTATCTACAGGGGAGCGTCCATATGACTGTCAGCTGATTTCTCAACAGAAACTTCGCAGGCCAGTAGTGGCAAGAGATATTCAAAGCAAGGACCTGCAACTAAGGTTACTCTACTCAGCAAAGCTATCATTTAGAATTGAAGATCAGATAAAGAGCTTCACAGACAAGAAAAAGCTAAAGGAGTCCATCACCAACAAACCAGTATTACATGAAATGTTGAAAGGTATTCTTTAAGAAGAAAAAGAATAAATTATGAACAATAAAATGGCAATAAATACATATATCAACTATTGGACCTAAAAATCAAAATAAACAAGAAATCTAATGAGCAAATTACACTGATGAATAACTAGAACCAGAGGCATGGCAACACGGAACAGACTGACAAATCTCAGAGGGAAGGGGGGTAGGTAGGAAGAGATTAACTAAAAATCTTACACACATATATGTATTTCCTATGGACATAGACAATAAGGTGGTGAAGGCCAGGGGTGGGAACTGGGTGGAGGGGAGCAATGTAGGGGAGAAAAGGGGGCATTTGTAATACTCTCAACAATAAAGATTAAAAACAAAAAACTAGTATCTGAGACCTACCACCAGATATTGTTTAGTATGGCCTGGGCATTGAGACTTTAAGAAATTCTTCAGGTTATTGTATGTATCCCAGGTTGAAACTCACTAACCTAAGAGACCCAAGGATAGATCTGTGAAAGCAACTAATTTAGCATCAGAAGGAAGAAAAAGAAGAAGAGAAGAGAAGACAGGGGTGATTAACAGCATCAAATGCTGCAGAAAAATTCAGGTTGACAGAGCTAAAATAGGTCTTTGTTTGTTACCCAGGAGATCAACTGCAAGAAAGCAGTTTCAGTAAAGATGAAGGCAAAAGCCAGCTTGCCAAAGGGGAAGTGGGTGGTAACTGAAAAAATGTAGTTCTATAACATTGGCAGGGAAGGGAAGGGCAGAAAAGGGACATTGGGTTTAGTGGAAACTTGAGTATGTTTTAGAATCCAAAGAGAAGGATCAAAAAGAGGAAGAGACTGAAAATTTGAGGGGATGTGAGAGACTGGTAAAAATAAGCAGAAGAGAGTGAGATCAAGGATGTGGCAACCTTGGTTGGACTTGGGAAAGAATAGATTTCCTTCTTACTCTGAGGTTGTACAGAAAGACACAGAAAAAAAAAAAAAGAATGATAAAGAGAAATGGTGAAGTAGAAAGGACAGAAGCAGAGGGAGTTCAGAGAATGGGTTTGATGTTCTCAAGCCTGAGATTTTGTTCTATTATTTACTACTATAGCACCCTGCCATTAGAAATACAGCTGGGAAAAACAAATCAATCAAATTTACTTCCTCCATAGCAACTCCTGGGTTTATCACTTGATTAGAAACAGAATTTGAAAATAGAGGCAGGAAAAAGAGGACACAGCTTCTCCTCCACAAGGCTGTGTCATCATGGAGCTCAGGGAAACAGGGTTTTTAAAGGGATTTTGCTGCCCCTCATCTTAAGCCTTTTTCCTGTAAGGCTCGTTTATACAGGCTATTTAACCCTATAATTAAATCTCCCCTTTATTAAGCATCTCCAGTTTTCTGGTGATTTGAGAGATTTGGACTTATTTTTAGAAAGAAAGCAATGTTGCACTTCTCACATTACTCCCCTGAATAAAATTCTTCTATGGTTCTGGACTTATATTAAAATCTTCACTTATGATATAGATTTTGTCATTAAAGAAACTGTTGCCGAAACCAGTTTGGCTCACTGTATAGAGCGTCAGCCTGCAGACTGAAAGGTCTCGGGTCGATTCCGGTCAAGGGCATGTACCTGGGTTGTGGGCACATCCCCAGTAGGAAGTGTGCAAGAGGCAGCTGATCGATGATTCTCTCTCATGGATGTTTCTCTCTATTCCTCTCCTTTCCTCTCTGTAAAAAATCAATAATATATATATATATATATATATATTTTTTTTTTTTTTTTAAAGAAACTGTTACACACACACACAAAAATCATTTATATGTAAACCTTCAGTATGCAATTGCAACCTACTATCCAAAACAATTTTGACCTTACTACTTTTAATCACAAACTCTATCCTATCCATCTATCTGCCCTTCCCCAAACATGCCATTTTCTCACCTCCATCCTTTCGCTCTAGTTTCTTCTGTTTAGTATGCCCTCTATGTCTATATGTCTAGATCCTACTAATCTTCAAGGCCCAACTCAAGTGATTCTTTCTCCTTAAAGTCTTTCCAGATCCCAAATCAGAAATGCTATCTACCAATCAGAAATGGTATCTCTCCTTCCTCTGAATTTTTAAAATATATTTTATTGATTTTTTACAGAGAGGAAGGGAAAGGGATACAGAGTTAGAAACATCAGTGAGAAACATTGATTCAGCTTCCTCCTGCACCCTCCCCATTGGGGATGTGCCCGCAATTAAGGTACATGCCCTTGACCAGAATCGAACCTGGAACCCTTCAGTCCACAGGCCAACGCTCTTTTCACTGAGTCAAACCAGTTAGGGCTTTCCTCTGATCAGGTCTATTGCAAAATATATATATATATATATATACACACACACACACACACATTTGTCCCCCTCAATGTAAGTTTGAAGCCAAAAAACATCTATCTCTCTTCCAAAGTTGTGTCCCCAGTGCCCTGCTGTCACTAGCAACTGTACAGAGACCTGACAGGACAAAAAAATATCCATCAGCTTCCTGGAGGTCATCCCCCTCCTGTCAATCATCTACTCTGTTTCCCCGAAAATAAGGCAGTGTTTTATATTAATTTTTTCTCCCAAAGTTACACTAGGTCTTGTTTTCAGGGGATGTCTTATCTTTCCATACGCTAGGTCTTATTTTCGGAGGATGTCTTATTTTCGGGGAAACACGGTAGGTAGGTTGATTAGGTCCTGCCTCTGGCAAGAGAATGGTAAACTAGACCAGCTCCAACAGTTATTTCCATCCCAAGCTTCCTTCTCCTAGTCCATAATCCTTACTATATTATATTTTTATTCTTATGGTTCCTTCTTTACCCTCAATCAGCAGGAATCTCTGAACGTTAGTTAGATCCACTTTTTTAGTTTTTAAAAAACAATACTAAAAGAATAGTCATAAGGCAATTGTGAAGTGGTGGAAAGTGCACTAAATTTGGAATCAGAAGACATGGGCTTTACCCTTTTTACTTACTAGCAGTGTGACCTCCAGGTAGTTGTGTAGCCACTCTAAACTTGTGTTTCCTTACCTGTACAATGAAGATGTCCAGAGAGGTTAAAAAAAAAAAGGTGTGTGTGTGAGTGTGTGTGTTTTGCATTCCAGGTTTGGCTGTGTTACGTTCCAAGACTGGCTACGAGGAATCTATCTCGTCCTCTTCTCTTGGGGACCTCTCCCTATTGCCTTTGCAGTACAAAGAAGTAGCTGTGACCTTGGGCCAGTCCCCAACTTGGCAGTCACACATCAGCGCCCTCAAAGGTAGCAGGAGCGCGTGTCAGGGATAGGAAAGAGGCTCAAGGAGTGCAACCAGGCCAGCTTGCTTCCTAATCAAGCACCCTCGGCGCCAGCTCTGCCACTAGGACAGGGGGCAGACGAGGGAAATGGAGCGTTGAAGACTTCCAGACTTGGCTTGCCCAGGTTAAGGAAGAGCCCAGGTCCTAGAAAAACCCATCCTGCCGCGTGACTTAAAGCCCGGAAGAAAACGCTTCCCACGCTCCCCAGAGGATCCGGCAAACGCCCGAGTCGCCACTTCCAGGCCTCAAGTGAGGCCCTCGTTACCCACAGCCTCCACGCATAAAGCTAAATACGGCCCTAGATAAAATTAATTACCATAAACCTCTAGCGCTTTCTCTTCCATGATCCGGGGCTGCCGGTCAGCTCCCCGCTCAAAGAGGCCCGAGAGCCACAGGACCCTGCTCAGCGTCCAGGAGAGCAGCCCCGACGCCCGCTTCATCCTCACGCTCCGCCATCCCTGGCGACTGTCCCACCCGAGCCGCCGTCTTCCAGCGGCTGGCCTCGCGATTTATCAACTTCCTGGTCTTCAAACGGGCCAAGACCAACCTAAAAGTGTCCAGGGGAGCAGGGAATGGGCGGGTCCGGACGGAGTAGCGCGGGGGACCAAGGGAAAGGCGCAAACCCCAAGGACTACAAACCCCATCATGCTTTGCTCGGTTTCCGCGAGACTGGAGGGGGGGGGAAATTCCCCTCTGCACGCGAGGCGCATTGCATGCTGGGACGTATGGGCCGTTTTCTTCGGAACACAGTTGTGCTCTGGGACTTGTAGTCTCCGCCTGGGAAGGGAGTAGGCATGTAACCGTCTATTATCCACTACTGACTTCCTCACGCAGCGCCCTCTGTAAACTAAGGATGACTTAAGATGAATCCTGAAGAGGTAGGGGAAAGGAGATCTTGATATCTAGTCCTGGAGGAGCTTGTGCAACGGAGATTCCTGCTGTTATTTCTCCCAGGGAAATTTTACTTCCTTAGGCCAGAAGTGAGTTTTCCTGGCTGTGAAACTGGATGTCTTGGGAGTCCAGTGAAGGATGGTTAGATGTGGCCGGGGGACGGGAGGGCTTTTTTTATTTTTCTCGTCTCAAAGGGATTTAGGCCAGCAAAACTACCCACTACAGACTGAATATTTTTGTCAATTGCCTTCAAAGACAACTAAGGAGAGCTTTCCCTGTGTCTAGTGCATCCAATAGTGACCTTGGAGATCACCATCCTAAAAAGGATGTCCTAAGTCCTCTGGCGTTCGTGGCCTTGATGGCTGCGAGTAACAAGGTTGATGTTAGAGTTTTATCCATCTATCAAATCAAATCGTAAACATCCAGTCAAATCGTAAACATTTATTGGGTATTTATTGGGACTGTAGGCGTCAAGGATTGGACAGGGCCCCTGCCTTCCAGCAGCTAACTGATCTATGAGGGAGCCAACCCCTGATGTTGAGGAATTTACAATTAGAAACAAACTAAACCTTTTGTGAAAGGTGATACCAAGTTTTTTATTATCTCTACTGAGAAAAAAAAAAAAAAAAGTCAGGGTTTATCTTGCAGAATTACCCCACAATAAACTATCCCACTTATCTAGTTGATTTAGACCTTAGGCTCACCAGCCAGCCAATGAATTGTCCCAAGAAAATTTTGTTCAGAGTTTAATAATTTCCCTGTTTCATTTCACATACACCACAGCAATTGAGAGAATCCTAACTTCCTTCCACCGGATTTAGGACACGGAGGTTTCATTTCCTCTCTGAGGCCTTCTGACTTCAATGACTAGATTTGATGATCTCTTTTACTGTGCTGGCACAGCAAATTTTATAGCACTAAACCTGTTAAGTTAATCATTAACATGCCCTGCAGCGCCTCGTCGGCCAGGAGCTTCTTTATTTCTCTGTCTCAGATGTCTAGCACGGTGCCAGGCACAGAATTAACCAAATGTTGTCCAAAGAATGCACGGCAAGACTTGACTGCAATCTGTTCAGAGACCTGAGTCAAAAGTACTTATGGAAGCTCCTCTATGAGGACACTATGCCTGGCATGGGTAGGTGGCATGTAGAGGTTTTCAGACACTTTATCCACACGACATCTCCTTAAGAAGCCCGGCCCCTCCTTTTCTGCCCCTTAGCGCCCTAGGTTTAAGAACGCAGCACTGTGATCCAGGGATCCGATTGGCTGGGCGGGAGCGGTGAGCCAGCCCTGCGCCCGCCCCCAGCGCGTAAGCCCCGCCCCAGCCCGTAAGCCCTGCCCTCAGCCCGTAAGCCCCGCCCCCGCCCCCAATACCGAGGCCCCCGCCCGGCGCGTTCCGCGGGGGTTGGCAGTGGCCATCCCACTCCTCGCTCCGCTGGAACGATTTGCTCGCGGCGCTTTCTCTGTATAAAGTTGTTGTTGCGGCTTCCGCCGCGGGTGGAGGAAGATGGCGTCGGCTGGTGGTGGCTGTAGCGCTTCGGAAAGACTCCCTCCGCCTTTCCCCGGCCTGGAGCCGGAGTCCGAGGGGGCGGCCGGGGGTTCAGAACCCGAGGCCGGGGACAGCGACACGGAGGGGGAGGATATCTTCACCGGCGCGGCGGTGAGTTCGCACCCTTTGGGGCGGCCGGGGGGCGGGCGGGCGCCCCAAAAGGGAAGGGAGGCTAAGTGGGGGTCGGGGAGGCTGGGCAGAGTGGCACCGGCGGTGGTGACAGCAGTCGCGGCTTGGGGGCGCTCGGTGAACGCCGGGACGGAGAGCCTGGCATCCCGGCCTCTGCACGGACCGCGAGGAGAAGTGAGGGGTGTGGTGGCTCCTCGGTTGAGGTCCGCGTTTGGCCCTGCCCTGCAGTGACCCCACGGACTCACGGGATGCCTGCTGGACGTTGTCTGCAGGGCTCATTTACTAGGTCAGGGAAAGTGCACGGGGCGCAGACTTTCTCCCGCCTACTGCTCCGAGGATGAATAATGTTATCTGAAGTGGCCCAGGAGAGTGATCCGCCCACAAATCATTTTCTTAGCTCAACACTTAACCTTTCATTACCAAAGGATCTTTCTAGGTCTTGGATTATTTTATGAATTAGGTTGACTCCTCTGATCTCTAGGAAAATCTTGCCAGAGGCCGTTTGGGGGGGGGGGGAGAGGGAGGGGGAAGGAGACCTGCCAGATAAATCTCTACATTTGCCACAAGCTTTGTCTCTTTTAAAGGGAAGTGCTAAAGGCCTAAGTATCTTTGTGGGAGCACATCTGTACGTGTGAAGAGGAAATGGTGTTTACTATAGTGATATCCAGGTTTCTAATAAGAGTTCAAAATTGGGGAAAACTAATCTTGAAATGTGGAAATCAGTTATCGAACTATTGGAGATGTTTTGAACTTTTCTATAAGAATATTGACCCGTACCACTTGGTATAGTTCTTTCCAGGCTGAAAATGTCTTCAGCATTAAACAGCTTTACATTCTTTATGCAGTATGTGTTTGAAACAATTGGCGCTTGTCTCATATGTCAGTATGAGTGTTCAGAACATGTCACCCCAAGATGTGCCTCTGTGGTATGCAGATTTTTTTGAGCTAAAAGCAATTTTAGCCTCTGGCTCATAGGAAATTTCTGCCCCAACCTAAAATAACTTGAATTAGGGGCCTTCCCCATAGGCGCAGATTATCAGAGATAACCTCTTTTATGTTTAGTGCAGGACAAACCACTCTTTACTAAACATCTGCTCTTATCATCCTGCAAAGACCCTTTGAGCCCCCAAGACACCTTACCTCATCCCTAGGATGTCTTATATACACATGTTCTTTTCTATCCCTGAACTTTTATCTGCATGCGGGGGGTCTCTGACTCTCTCGTGTATGCAGGGGTTCCTACACATATTAAATTTGGTTGTTTTCTCTTGCTATTATGTCTCATATATATTGGACCAGCCAAAAGAACCTTGAAGATAGAGGAAAATTTGTTCCTCCCCATTATCAGAAAAAGGTTACGTTTCTTGGAAATATCTTCTCTGACAATCATTAGAATTTTCCCTGTACTGTGTTCAGGAATTGAGTCCATAATTCCAGTTCAGAAAGCATTTGCTGCCAAGGCCAGTGTGGCTCAGTTGGTTAAAGCTTCACACCATGTACCGAAGGGTCGCAGGTTTGATTCCCAGTCAGCGCACATCCCCAAGTTGCAAGTTCACATGTATGGCAGCCAATCATTGTGTCTCTATCACATAGATGTTTCTCTCTCCCCTCTTCTTTCCTCTCTCTAGAATCAATGAAAACATATCCTTGGATGAGGATTTCTTTTTTTAATTAAAAAAAAATAAAAGAAAGCATTTGCTGATGCTAATATAACAGCTCAAACTGTTTAGTAGTGAAGTCTCTTTTTTTTTTTTTTTTTAAATATATTTTATTGATTTTGTACAGAGTGGAAGTGAGAGAGATAGAGAGTTAGAAACCTCGATGAGAGAGAGTCATCGATCAGCTGCCTCTTGCACACCCCCTACCGGGGATATGCCCGCAACTAAGGTACATGCCCTTGACCGGAATCGAACCCGGGTCCCTTCAGTCCCCAAGCCGACGCTCTTTCCATTGAGCCAAACCGGTCTCGGCAGTAGTGAAGTCTCTTATTCTGAGAAATAACTTGCTGCTAATCTAGTCTTTCTGTAGCCCATTTAATACATATCTTTAGTCTATTCCTTTAATAATTCTCCCATACACCATGGTGAATAGCTCCTAGGGTGGTAGATATTCAGTCTGAATATCTCCAAATAGAAACTCTGGCACTGAAAGTGATTAATCATTATAGACAAATAATGACTTATTTAAAAAAAAAAAAAAAAAAAAAAAAAAAAGGACCCTGGGAGGATGAGGAGTTATTTTTTAGAGTTACCTTAAATAGTTCAAGAGGTAGCTGAAACTGGTTTGGCTCAGTGGATAGAGTCAGGCTGCAGACTGAAGGGTCCTAGGTTCAATTCCGGTCAAGAGCCTTGGTTGAGGGCACATCCCCAGTGTGGGTGTGCAGGAGGCAGCTGGTTGATTTTTCTTTCTCATCGATGTTTCTAGCTCTCTATCCTTCTCCCTTCTTCTCTGTAAAAAATCAATAAAAAATATTTTTTTAAAAGTTCAAGAGGCTATGATTTGATCTAACCAGATTATTGTACAGATGCATCAATATTTCTCTCTTAAAAGACTAAAAATACTTTGCCTAATTTCCAGCTAAGGGGAAAAGGAGGAGGTTAGAATGGCCTTTTTGTACCACATAAAGCATAATTATATTTCAGATTTTAATTCAGGAAAAATTACTTGCTGAGGAAACTAAAATGCTACTTGTAAGCCATTTTTTGAGCTGCTTTTTCTGCTGTTACTCTTTAGGAAGACAAGACCCTTATCTGTGAATGTCTACTTAAATAGCCATTTAATACAAGTTATATTTCAATACATGCTTTAGTTGAGCCAATGTGAAAAGATAGGAGATTGCATTGATTCTGTATTTTAAGGAACACACTGAAGAAGAAAGTAATTAGGAGCACTGGCTTTGAAGTCTCATGTAAATCCAGGTTCTGTTATTTGCTAGCTTAACCTTAGACAGGAACTTAATTACTCTGTTACAATTCCCTCATCTATAAAATGTGAATAATAATGGTATTTACCTCCACTGCTTTTTATTAAGATTGAATAAGAATATGTGCCTGTAAAGCACATAAAACAATTGAGCATCTTGTAAACTGAAATTAAAGAATTAAAAAAAAAAACCACTAAAATCTAATAATGGATTACAAAGTTAAATTCATTCTAAATGACTAACATATTTTGTCAAAATCAAACTACTAAAGTTGATTTGCTAAGCTAGAAGTCATCAAAGTAGACATCTTACTCATTTAAGTTTATCTTCATATGTGTTTTGTTGAATGTTGGAGGCAAAGAGAGGAGCATTAAAGAATTGAAAAGCTAAGGCATGTAAAATTTAAAACTCACTTATGATATGTGTGTAACTTCCTGAACATTGATGTAGCAGCTGCTGCTGTTGATCATCCCATCTGCTCTCTTTTACAGCCCAAGAGGCTTTTTAAATTCAGTAATAAAAGTGTGATTTGATTTATAATCAAAAGGGCAACCATGATAATAATGCATCTCAAAATCTACAAGGAGAAACTGGAGTTAAAAGAATTATTAAAATAAATCTGAAGTCATTGCATTAAGACTGAAAAACCAGCATGTGGAAAGTCTGATACTTACAAATATGTAAGACCTTATCTTCTTTCTGCCTCCTACCTTGTGGGCCTCTGAATAAAAAAGTCTAAATTGTAATCTGAATTTTTTATGTGGACCTGAATCCAAATATGTATCTTTTTAGTTAAAACGTTCTTAGTTCTGGGATAGGGTCAATTTTTTCTCTAATAAAATTGGAGACTAAATTGGAGCCATTCTTTTGGCTCTCTTAATTCTTTATTTTATTTTATTATTTATTTCAGAGAGGAAGGAGAGATAAAAACAACCATAATGAGAAAGAACCATGGATTGGCTGGCTCCTTCGAGTCCCCCACTGGGGATCGAACCCACAACCCAGTCACGTGCCTTGACCGGAATCAAACCTGGGATATTTTGGTTCACAGGCCAACGCTCTATCCACTGAGCAAAACTGGCTAGGGCTAATTCACATTTTTGTGAAACATATCTCCAGAACTTTTTCTTTCTTTTTTTTTTTTTTCTCCAGAATTTTTTCATCTTGCATTCCTGAAACTATACTCATTAAAACATTTCCCCTTTCTCTTTTCACTCTACTCTCTAGTAACTACCATTTTACCTTCTGTTTCTATGAATTTGACTACTTTAGATAACCTCATATAAGTGGACCGTGCAGTATTTGTCTTTTTGTGACTGGTTTATTTTACTAAGCATAATATCCTCAAGGTTCATTCGTGTTGTAGCATGCATCAGAATTTCCTTTTTTTTTTTTTTTTTTTTTAATATATTTTATTGATTTTGTACAGAGAGGAAGGGAGAGAGATAGAAAGCTAGAAACATCGATGAGAGAGAGTCATCGATCAGCTGCCTCTTGCACACCCCCCACTGGGGATATGCCCGCAACCAAGGTACATGCCCTTGACCGGAATCGAACCCGGGTCCCTTCAGTCCCCAAGCCGACGCTCTATCCATTGAGCCAAACCGGTCTCGGCCATCAGAATTTCCTTTTTAAAAATATATATATTTTATTGATTTTTTTACAGAGAGGAAGAGAGAGGGATAGAGAGTTAGAAACACTGATGAGAGAGAATCATCGATCATCCGCCTCCTGCACACCCCCCACTGGGGATGTGCCGGCAACCAAGGCACATCCCCTTGACCAGAATCAAACCTGGGACCCTTCAGTCCACAGGCTGACGCTTTATTCACTGAGCTAAACCGGTTTCGGCCAGAATTTACTTTTAAGGATGAAGAGTATTCCATCATATCTGCATATATACCACATATTTATCAGTTCATCTTCGATGGACATTAGGTTGCTTCTACCTCTTGGCTCTTGTGAATATGAATGTGAAAAAATATCCTCAAGACTCTGCTTTCCAATTCTTTTGAATATATATCCAGAAATGGGATTGCTGAATCACATGGTAGTTCTA